TTTTTTTTTTTGTTTGTTTGTGGGTGGGTGCAAGAAGAAAGAAGAAAAAAAAAAGAAAAAGGGGTTCCACCTATTTTTTCTTTTTTCCTCTCTCAACACCCAATAATTGATTCCCTGTGGGAAAGTAAAGAGCGGGGGATTCTTTGAATCTAACGTGATAAGAGGGAAAGTAAAGTACGTGTAATGTGGGAATAAAAACAAAAGAAGAAAAAAAAAAGTGAAAGACCAACACGGTGGATCTAGTGAAGCGGAATGGTCCGAGAGAAAAAAAAAAAGAAAAAAAAATGGAAAGAGATATAGTATCTAACTTTCTATATATCTGGTTTCCTTACTTTGATATTGTTTATTTTTTGTTTTTGTTTTTTTGTTTTTTTTTTTTTTTTCGTTTTCTTTGGGTTTAAATAGATATATACATGTACTGTTTATTTTTTTTGTTTGTTTGTTTGTTTGTTTCTTTCTTTATCCCGGTCAAATATCTTTGCAGTTACTACACTGCAAGTTTATCTTTTCCGGGGGTTTTCTCATATTTCCCAGTGAGGCCTCCATCAATACAGTTTAAATACAGTTCATATATATATATATATATATATATAGATATAGATAGATAGATGTATAAATACATTACGGCCATCTATACGCTACTGAGGGGGGAAGGGGATTTGTTGAGTGCAACGCATGCAGTCCTCTCCTCTCACTGCGAAACCAATTTATTGGCCGGATGAAATAAATAAAAATAATAAAAAAAAACAAGAATAATAAAAAGTAAGATCAACACGGTCAATATCAAGAAGAAGTAGTCAACTGGGAATATGGAAAAGAACATAAATTATTTCATTCATTACAAATGTAAAATGATAAATGAGTGATATAAATAGCTGAAGAGCTCTAAAGAAGAAAGATTATACTTCTTTCTCTTCCATATAAATATATATATTTTTATTTTTGCTTTTTCCCTTTCCCTTTTTGGTTCTCTTCCTTTTCTCCCCTCTCACTCAGTCCCATTTATCCCATTATTTACCCGAATTCTTCTTCTTTGGTTCCTCCCTTCTCTATTAAACTTTCCAGAGGAACCCTTTAGATTTTATTTCCTTCTATATTTCGGATAAATACATTATACATAAGAACCGTAAAGAGAGAGAAAAAAAAAGAAGAAAAAAGAAAAAGGGAAGGGAGTGTAGTAATATTAATATGACTATTGATTATTATTATTATTGTTATTAACGCAATTCACATCTATTTTCGTAGCGTTATATGAAATCTATACGCATGGAGTCGTCACACATCCATTCTTCTCTAGAGGTGGTGACACAACAGAATCTTTTTTTCTTTTTTTCATTCTTTTCTCCCCTCACTCACTCACTCTCTCATATCCTGTGAGTGTAATCTAAAAGATATTCACAGACCCTCCCTGTTGTGATAATGGAGGGACTAACCGGCGATTTGAACCCTGGCGTGGGATATGCTGTCGATGATGATTATTCATATGATTATTATTATGCGGTTGTGGTTGTGGAGATTGTTGTTGTTGTGATTGCAGTGGTAGTTGTGGTTGTTGTGTTGACATATTTTTAGTCCGCAACTTCGCCTCAATCTTCGCCGCATATGGACTGCTTGGAAGTGCCGGACGCAGACGATCACAAATACGTTTCAGTTCATTTGGATTTTCCATATGTTCAATAATACTCTGTACCACAAAGTTTCCAAAACTATCCTGTACCATTTGTAGTAATGCCGCGGGATTGTAGATGAGTTCATCTAATAATAATCGTCGCACCGCAGGCACATCCCCGCAGATTTTAATAATCTTTTCCACCGCATTACTTGCATACTTATTGCAACTCATATTTAATAATTCCCCTGTAAAGCAGGAGACGGTGTATTGAGCGGCTGTGGTCTTCCCACTATGCTCAATCGCACACTGCACAACGTAATTCCCAAAGGGATCCAATGCGATGTGTGCAAAGAGAGGAACGAGTGGCGCCATCAATTGAGCCTTTTGTGCGGCATCGCAGTGTTCAAAGATACGCATGAGTGAAATACAACCTTGCTGCGTAGCCGCAAGATATTGGGCATTCGCCGCCAATACATCCACAATGGGTTGTAAATCAATTAACGGTCGTTCAAATAAGGCTTGAAGAATACGACGTGTGTGTTGAGAGACGGTACAGAGATTTAACACAAGTGTCTCATTAAAGGCCGACACCAACAGCGCCGTTTGTGCCGCATTCATATATTCCTTCAGTGCTCGCAGGACATGACAGCCGTGTGTGTCCAGTGCGACCTTTTCCACCTCCGCCGCTATTTCAGTTACCATGGTGTCAATCACCATTGTGTCCTGCGAGCGCATGGCGGCCATTAACATAGATCGGCCTTCTGCCGTGCACGCCAACTCGGCAACGCGTCCCACACATTTGCGTTCAAACTCCTCTGCTGTGTCTAAAGGAAGTGCCGCCGTGTGTGTGGCCACCGGGGGAGCCACCACAGGTTCACCATACTTCATCGTAGAAGAGAACATCTGTGGTGTTGGTAAGGTGGCGGAAGAAGGATAATTATGATGATGATTATTATTATTATTATTATTATTATTATTATTATTATTATTATGAGGATAACCAACACCATTTGTTGATGGGGCAACAGAACGATGTCCTCCTAATGTCATCACAGGTGTAATATTATTACGTCTCGTCGTGGTGCTTACAACTACCGCTGATGGTTGTTGTTGTTGTTGTGATTGTGATTGTGGAAGGTATGAATCTTGTGCATAGGCGTCGGTGGCAGAGACCTGCATGGCGTAATAAGCACGATACTGCGCGCAAGTCGCACATGGGCACTGTGCGTAATTCGCCTCTGCCAATTCCATCATGCGTTGAGGATCTTGTGTTGATGGGAATGCATAGGATCCAGTAGGTGGATACATTTCCGCATTTGTTTGAATGGCTGCAGTCGTAGTAGTAGTGGTAGTGGTAGTGCTGGCGTTTGTTCTTGTTGTTATTGAGGAAAGACCAACTTGATTTTGTTTATTTGGGCGTGGTGGACTTACATATGTGGCCATGGGAGGCCCTGTCTTGCCGCGAACCCCCAGCGTATTAAAATTAACTTCACGAAGCTCCATGTATATGTTTATTTACACAATAGTAATAGATAATATCAACTTATTATTCAAGATACCTGTGTAAATATATCTAAATATATGTAAATATATATATAATTATATTTATATATTTATATATGCGTAATAATAATAATAATAATAGTAATAACAATAATGATAATAATAATAAGTATCTTTATGTGGGTGCTTCTACTTCTACAATTCTTCTTTTTATTGTTGTTGTTTTATTCTTTATATATAAAATGTGTATAAACACAAGAAATGATGTATGTGTATCTAATGGGATTTCTCTAATAATTCAAGCAGTTTATCTAGTTAAGGCCTTTAAAAAAAATATATCGTGGTAATTATAATGCAATACAATAAAGAGTAAATTCGTTGTGTTCGTACAGCACGCAAACCCCACAACAAGCAAAAAAACAGAGAAAGCGAGAGAGAGAGAGAGAGAAAGAAAAAAAAAAATTGAAGGAAAAAAAAACAGATAAACGGAGAATACAAAAAAAAAAAAAAAGAAATTCACACTCATTTACTTTTTTTTTTCTTTGTGTGGGGTTTTGTACGCCTGTACGTGCGAAATGTGCGCACCAAGAAAAAAAATATATGCGTACTATTGTACCACCAATTAAACGTTTCACTCACCGCACACACACACACACACATACACCTCAAAATGGGTTAACAAGAAACAAAGAGAGAAATGAGAGAGAACATCCATCCAATAGAGATTCCTCCCCTCTTCTTTTTTTTTTTTCTTTTGTTTTTTTTTTCTGTTTTTAAAGGGTCTTCTGGAGGGCCTCATCACACTCGGATATAATAGCCTGACAAATGTATGGAGCGTCATGCAAGAGAGCCGTTAAATCCATTGGAGACACCGCCGTTGACAATTCCTCATCTCTTCCATTCTTTTTATTATTTCCCAATCGCCATGCATTCCCGCGGCGTGCTGGCATTTGTTGTAATTTCGTGTATGCCACCATTCCCGCAGCGTTTGCGGCGATGTGCACTTGTTGTGGGAGTGCCAACTCCTCCAGTGGTGTGGGGTCCACGACGTAGTGCCGCGTGGGTGAGAGCAGCAGGATGGCGAGTGTTGGCAGCGCCTCCCAGTTGATGGGGCGGTGAAAGGGGCGGGTGCGATCGACCTCCACCGCGACGCCGGCGGCGGTTTGATGTAAAGAGACGGCGGGCAGTCGGAGGGCCTTCAACGCGGCGTGCACGGCGAGGGCGATGTGCGCCGCGAGACCCCCGCCGCCGGCCTGCAGCACATGCACGTCGACATCCACGCGGAAGGCATGGCCGCTGCCGAGATATAACTGTTCGCCCGGATAGCCAGTGGTGGAATTGGAATTCATATTAATACTAATATTGTTGTTGTTGTTATTAATATTAATGGTGTTGCTGTTGGTGTTGGGAATTGTAGATGTGTTGTTGTCATTTGCATTCTCCTCTGGGATGCGTTCGGCCTCTGCCACGCCTAATTGCTCCTGCACCACCACACTCTCCGCGCCAAAAGTCTGACGGATGGTGGTGGCGAGAAAAGAAAGATACGCCTGGCGATAACGGCCACCGCGATTGCGAAGAGACTCCGCATAATAATCCACCACTGCAGGGACAGCATCAATGGTGATGTACAGTGGACCACGCAGAGCTGCGGTGGAATTGTGAGGAGTGGATTCCACTTCTTCTTTTTCTCCCTCTTCTGCAGAGATTGAACTGCATTCCTGCAATTCCACCACAGAAGGTGTTGCTGCCGCCACCACAGTGGTGCCGCCGCACTGCACCTCCACACAACTTCCATCGTAATCGATCTCTGTAGTTGCACCGCCAGTGGTGTGATTAGGCACAATTGTGAAGGGACGGCGCTGCGTTAGCGAGCGGCCATCACTGCGGACATCATTCGCAATGCCATCCTGCACCGCCCGGATCTCCGTCTCACTAATGGCTGGACCAAAGAGCATTTTTTTCTAACACAGACGCCTACTACACATGGGAAAGAAGGGGGTGGGGGAAATAAATAATAACAATAATAATAAGAATAATAAAAAAGTGGAATTCATGGTTTCTCTCCTGCTTTTCTTTTCTTTTCTTCTTGATGGACATAAACTTTTTTTCTTTATTCCTTCTCAGAGTCTCTCTCTCTCTCTCTTTCTGTTCTTCTTCTTCTTCCACTTACTCTGGTCATGAAATGTTGAACCCAACGCAAGAATACAATGGCAATATCACACAACGAATACGCAGGGGAATGTTTACGCACAGATTCCTCAGCATACATTACACATGCTATCACAAGAAAGAAAAAAAATAATGTAGTCCTGCTCACTCCGAACAATAGCCATCTTTTTTTTTTTTTTTACTTATTGTGTGTTTTCAATTGTTTCCCTATCAATGTACTTTTTTTTTCCTCCTTTTTTTTGTATTCTCGTTACTGTTTTTTTTTTTTTTCTTCCTGAGACATTCTTCCTCCTCACTTCATCTCTCACTCATTTTCATCTCTCTTTTTTTCTTTTTTCTTCATTCTTGTTTACTTCTCAACGTTTCCTTTTTTTTTTTTTTTTGGTTTTCTTCTTGTTTTTTCTTTTTTTTTGTTTATTGTTCATATTCCTCTTTTCTCTCTCTCTCTCTTTCTCATCATATATGTGCGTTGATGGATGTCTTCTTTCCTATTCCAAATTGGGAATTCCCAATGGGCCTACTGTCTTCCTCCCTTATCAATTAAGCTAAGCCGTTCTCCAATACCGTACGCAATGGACTGTGTGTTTGATCGAATACGCACTACACCTGTGATCTTTGAATGTGCGTCTCGTTCAAGTGAGACATTTGCCAACGCATCTTCACCAAACACCGTGCGGGCGTAAAGACTGCAAGAGACACAATCGTAATCATCATCATTACTAAGAGGTGAGAGTCCTTGAAGTTCTCCCGATTCACTTGTCTCCGCCTCCACATCTGGGTATGGCTCTAACAATTGCATATTTGTTTCCCGCATTACAAATTCCACGTAATCACGTAAATCTGTTTTATCGGTATTTACAGCAATAGTATTTTCCCAGTCAAATGTACCCCACTTTTCACGGAATTCTGTCGTTAAACATGATGCTGGTCTAATGTAGTCCATAATATCAACATGGATATCATTTAATATTACACAGCATCGTTCACCATTAGGGGCATCATAAAGAATATTAGCATAAATAACACCTGTCTCTGTAGAACTTACTTTTAAAGCTGTACGTTGTTTAAGAGTACCATGTGGAGGTAAATTATGTACTTGTGGACGTTCACATAACTTCATACCTCCAAGTGAAGTTAACTCTATCGTTAGATCTTGTAATAAATGCGGTGTACGATTCACCAAATACCAATCAACAGATACATCAAATTGGTGTACAGTTACCGTTGCCTCACAATACACCGGATCACAGAATCCAGAGAGTGGAATAGTTTTTTCCAATCGTTTAAGGAATTCCTCTGTTTTATCAATAGAGTCATTCGCAATAGCATGGCCCAAATCATCTGCAGCTTCAAGTTCAAGAAAAGCATCTTTCCCTTGTTTAAGTTGTGTAAATATAACTGGCATATCAATATTACAGAGAGTAACAGATTCCTTTGCCTTGGATGCTTCACTAGTTCCAGACTCACCAACAGCACCACCAGCTACAGTACTTTCCACCGTACTAAGAGCTTTATGAGATTCATCTACAAAAGATGTCAAAATTGAAGATTTCGGATTTGTAATAGACATAATTCCTAAACAAATATGTTCATGAGAATCTTCATCTATGACATGTACTGTATCTGGAGCAGTACCATATCGAATAATTTCTTGTAGTAACATCAACGCATCATCTCGGGCTCTCTCCTTAACTGTTAAATCCACAGCATCATTAAAATGATTAAACAATCGAACAATAAGTTTTGATAAGGTACTAGCAAGAGCTGTTGCAACAAAGTAATTACCCTTAGTAATAAGTAATCGTAGACCATTAGATGATTCACCCATCTCATTCATAGATTCTGTTGTTACTGATGTAGCAGGAACAGCTGTATAGGAAGTTACATAAGTTCCATCTTCTCGTACAGTAGTGACAGCTTGCATAACTGGAGCTGGTGGTGTATTGGAATCTCCGCCAGTAGATAAAGTATTAGAAACTGGTGGTGTGAGTGGAAATGGTTTAAGAGATTTTTGAAGAAGTTCAAGTACTCCTAATACCTCATCTACAGAGTAGACATGAGTTCCAAATAACCAGAGAGCACTTCGTACTACCTGGGGTGAAGTAATCATAGGAAAAACTTCCATTAACTGTTTTAATGTACTAGCACGAAGTGATGGTTGCATCTGTAAAATTTCACGAATAAAAGATATAACTTCATAACCACCATTTGATGAATCACAGGTATAATCCATCATAATAGGTAACACAGAAGATGCCATGTGAGGTTGACGAATCACAGAGGTACGAATAGCACGAATTAATAAACGTTTATATTCTTGCATAGAAGTTTGATCTACAAGATCACCTTCACTTTGGGAACGTAAAAGTTCTTTTTTCATGGCTTGTATAAAAAGTTCAACATTCTTACTTGAGACAAGCTCTACTGCGAGTGCCACTATTCGTTTACGTATCTCTGTAGAACCATTAGCCAAGGCACTCACAACATCCAAGAGAGAATCCTGCAAAACTTCACTGAATCTCGCTCGCATACCATCTAATTTGTCTATAACAATAAGTCGTACACTATTATCAGAGTGTGTCTTGAGCAAGTCAATAAAAGTTAATGCTGCCTGACGAATAGCTGTAGGAGAAGAAGATAAATTCAACAATGTTGAAGCACATTGAAAGCGTACAGCCGGATTCTTAGACTGTAAAATATTAAAAAGGATAGCTACATACTTGGCTTTATCATATGGATTCGCTCGTATCATTTGACGAGCAAAATCAACAACAGAAACCTGAAAAGCAGCTCCAGCTTCTGCCATATCTGTGGTTTCGCGAAACATTGTTAGGAATCGCACAGCTCGTTCAGGTGCACATTCCACAAGCATATCAAAAGCATTTCGACGCGCAGAAACATCATTCTCATCACCAATGAATTTCTCAACCAGTTCAGGTGCATCCGGAAGAAGATCGGGGAATCTCCTACAAATGGCATGCACAGCTAACACAGCACTACGACGGACATACGTAACTCGATGTGACAAATTCTGAACAACAGACGATATCAGAGGTTCAACCAATTCCTTTTCCTTTACCTTGCAAAGAAACCTCAACGTAAGGCCACGTACGTACTCATTTGGGTGAAGAAGATCTTCTCGCAGGAAGGAACAAATAAGAATCATTTCACTCAGTAATTTTCCATTTCTATCAGTCTTCTCAACAACCTCCCAGAAGTACAGCACTAGCTTTTTAATAAGATGATCCTCAAGTGGAGTAATATATTTAATAACAGACATAATCATATGATTCTGTGGCTCACCATTCACATGAAGTCGAATCATCGTCTCTAGTGCCTCTGCACGGGCATTCGTATCGCCCTTCTCCAAGGCCATTTTAAGATCAGTTGAATTAACATTACTACCATCGTAACCGACGAGCAATGTGCACGCCGTTTCCTGATTTGATTTTAAGTTCATTTCTGTCAAAGAAAACAAAAAAAAAAAGAAAAAAAGACAGCAGCGTTTTAATGGACAGCTTCAAAAACACAATATAGCACACACACAAAAAAAAAGAAACAGAGAAACAGTAATATGTACCCGCACCGTCGACACGTCGTCATTTCTACAGCTGGGATAATTGCGACTGGGCAGCATTTTCATCCGAACTTGACTCCCAGCTCGCTAAATTCGATCGACGACACATCTCACGCAATATTAAGGATTTCACGAAATGCTTCCATACCGCGCTGCGACACCATTGTCCTCGCGGTATGTTTAAGGAAGGTCCCACAGTATGGGACAAGGATATTAACCAAGCTGAACATAACGCGAATCTTCTGAAAACGCGTTACCTAAATTTACCGACTTTGGAAAACCAAGCAGCAATGCAACAGGCCACTATGCATTGCCTTGAGGCGATTAGGTCCAAACTCACTCGTACGTTTCATCATCGGCTCAGTAAGCTGAACCCTGGCGACCATCTCTCCTGGAAGTACATATCGGCATGTAAACGGGCTACTCCCCCCTCTTCTCAATCTATTATTTTAAGTGTAGGCAAGAAACAGCTTAGTACCTCGCGTCAAACGGCGAACGCACTTAATCGCCATTTCTTCCCCCCCTCTCCAAGGATCAAACCACATAGGTTTTCTAGAAGGCGACATGGAAGAGGCCAACAGAGTCCCTCTTCCCCTTCTTCTCTTTTTTCTTCTTTAGGTTTTTCTCTCCCCTCTATAGGTACACAGAATTCTTTTTTCACATCTGATGCTGACTTTCTTCCCACTTCTTCTTCTTCTTACTCTTCCCCTCTTGATGCCCCATTTCGCATGGCCGAATTACTTGCAGCGATTCGAGATACACCCAGCGGCAAAGCGCCTGGCCCTGATGAAATTTACAGTGAGCCTCTCCACCATTTGTCCGATAATGGTAGGAAATTCGTCTTAAAATGCATAAATCAAAGTTGGCAAACAGGAATTATACCTGCTCAATGGCGTTGTGCGACCGTAGTCCCGCTATTGAAGCCAGGTAAGGCACCGGAAAATCCCAGTTCGTATCGTCCTATTAGTCTTACATCAATATTATGTAAGGTAGCAGAAAAGATGGTTCTTCGGCGACTTTTGTGGGTTTGGACGCCCCACCCACATCAATATGCATATAGAAGTATGCATACCACAGCTATGCAACTTGCTCATCTAGTCGACACTGTTGAGCATAATCGGAATGAATATTTTGACGTTCGTCTTAATAAACGACATGCGAATGGAGTGCAAATACATTATCGACCACATCGTACACTACTAATACTGATTGATTTTAGTCGTGCCTTTGACTCTATCAATCATCGTGTACTCAGTGAACGGCTTGCCCATATACCTGGGACAAACTGTAGAAGGTGGCTTCGAAATTTATTGTGTGATAGATTCGCGCGGACCAGGGTCGGGAATACAAGAAGCAAGAAGCGTAATGTGTCTCAAGGAGTTCCGCAGGGTTCTGTAGTAGGGCCGTACCTTTTTTCCCTCTACGTACACCCGCTCCTTAACTTGCTTAATGATTCCGCTGAAATATCGGCTGATATGTATGCTGACGACTTATCAATCATCATCAAAGGGCAGTCTCGCGAAGAGGCTATCCCTAAGGTCAATCTAGTTCTCCGACAGCTCCATGAATGGAGCATTCAGAACGACCTCCTGGTGAATCCGTTAAAGTGCGAAGCAGTATGGTTTACAATGTCAACACACACTGAAGATGATCGCGATCCAGATGATAAACATAAGCTAATCTATAACGGCCATGAAATCCCTGTGTCAACTATGGGATCCACCCATCTCCCTAAGCTGCTTGGACTACCACTTGATCCGCGGCTGTCTTTCAATACCGCCGCGAACGCCCAGAGTGCTGCCACATCGACTCGTATAGCTCAATTAAAATGTGTAGCACATAAATCGGCCGGACCTCGACCCCATGACATGAGAACTTTTGTCATTGGATATGGATCGTCCAAACTTCTATATGGAAGAGGACTAACATGGGCCTTAAGTGATGATACCGCAAAGAATGCGTTAATGCGGACCCAAGCAAGCCTTGCACGAATAGTCAGTGGAGTTCCGTCTACGACGGACCCTGAATCTGCTTTACTGGAAGCTAATATGATGCCATTACATATTATTGCACTTGGTGCTCGTTTTGCACTATTTGAGAGAGTACGTGCATGTCATAAGGACTGGTATCATCCCCCGCCTCCAGAACCTCCTCCGCGTAAAGGTTTTCGCATTTCGCCTATATCACGCAGAGACCTCTACTCTTTCGTAGACTCTCTCATGATGGAAAACGGTATCAATCAACACAGTACACGGGAAGTACGCTTCTTCCATACAAGCATTCCGCCGTGGTCAGTACACCTCGCCTCCAACGTCACCTTTGGTCTCGAAGTCTAGTACTCTTACGGACGAAAAAATCATTACTCAAGCTAAACACAGTGCTTTTTTTTTCCCTTCGTGTCTTTATGGGTTTTACCCCAATGGCACGGACCATCAAGAATAATACATAAAAATACATAAAAATACATAAATACAATTTGTTTTTATATTATTTTTTTTACTACCGTTGGGCATGGGAAGTACGCATTGATAATGAAATTACTATGGATCTCGTAGGTGTCAGAACATGGATTTTTTTTTTCGCCGCTTTGAGTCCCCTCAGCGGCTAATCCAATTTACCCAGTGGAGGGCATAATCGTTACTCTATCTCTAGGGTCCCTGTCACTCTTTTTTTAGCAGCATTCACACTAAGGTGAATCATATAAAAGAAACTGCTGCTGATAGCACACTGATACGCGCCCCAGGACCTTCTTGCATAACGTTTTGTCCAAGCACGATTCTGCTGGCCCAGGTGCTGTATGATGTTTTTAGCTTATGAACCCGTAAACTCTATAGAAAGAGCTTATTACCAATTGCTTTCCCTGCAAAAATACAAGGGATAATGGACCTTGGTTCCACCTTTCGATGGCCAAACGTCACCAAGGGGATAGCATTCCCAAGAACGCATATATTGAAAAGAAAAAAAATTGGTTTTTAAGGAGACCACCTCCTGCAAAATTTAGTGAGTGCATTTAGTTTCCCTGAATAAATTCAAGTACTTAACCTTGGTACCACGATAAGGTAGCACACCATTACCAAGGGAAACACAGTGCTAGTATGGCTGCTCTTCAACTTCATGCACACAAACGTTGGGTGGTCTCCACAGATGGAGGTGTTTCCCATCCACAGTCGGCAGGATTAGCGCTTCTCTTTCAATCATTTGATAACCTCAACATTATTGATCGTGTCAGCATTAATTGTGGATGTGTTCCTTGCAGTTACAGAACGGAAGCTTCAGCCATGCTGTTAGCCTTTGATAAATTAGTGTTGCCACGTATTACAGAGAAGGACAGGACATTACTTATATAAACGGACAGTCAGTCCCTTCTGGCTGCCCTTAATAAAGGTCCTTTGAGTCAGACAGATTATACAGAAGATCAAATTTGGACTCGACTCATTAAGCTTACTCTTAACGGATGGTCGATACACCTTCAATTTTGTTATAGCCACTGTGGAGTAGAAATAAACGAATTAGCAGATCAATATGCAACTACGTGTATGGAAACCGGGAGGTATACAGAAACGGATGTGAAACCACTTTGGCACACGGATCTTGAAACCCTTCTAGTTCGTAGGCTCAAAGAACAATGGAAAGAATCATTACGTCCTGACACTCATCGATATAGCCTTTGTGGAGATCGATCGGCTGATTTGAGTGGTACCGACCTTATTACTGGTAACCTTCTCACTCGATCTGAACTAGTCCATTTAGCGCGTGCTCGGTGTGGAGAATCTGAGTTCTTTGGACGTCTTTTCTGGAGTGTAAGGGAATGCTTGCCGACGTGCAGACTGTGCAACCGCACACCAGAGCAATCTGCGGCACTATTACGTGATACTCAATTGTCCAAAGACAACACTGAGGATCACTCTTCATCACTTCAACAGTCCCGAACGGTACCAGGGGTATCCATCAATAGAAGAGAAGAACCATGTCCATATTGTGAAAAAATTTATCGTGGTTTTTCGAATCTTAAACTTCACTGCAAACAACATCACAGTGATCGACCTGCCCCTACCGCTCATCTTAAATGTGACCTCTGTGACGAAGTATATGACAATCGACGGAGTGCGGCACAGCACCGTATGCGCTGTACTCTTAATCCCGATGGCCTTCATTCACGAAAAAGTGGACCGAGAAGAAGATCTCATCTTCCTACTCATCAACCACCCACTACGTTCACCAATAATGGACCGATGGAAACACTTCATCACATTCTCTATGAATGTCCTGAAGCTCGACACACTGTGGACAAATTACATATACTGCAGGATATCCAAACAGAAAAATATTCTATGTGGCAATTTCTTCACAGCAAAAAGTTACTGACACTACTGCAAAGGTTATTTGGCCACATATACAGAGAAGGATGGATCCACGCGCAGATGAGAGCAAAAAAAATAAGAAATGAAGACAGAACCGTTTTATTGGACAGCTTCAAAAACACAATATAGCACACAAAAAAAAAAAGAGATACAGTCATATGTACCCGCACGGTGAACGATGGTCAACAAAAGAAAAAAAAAATGGGAAAAGAAGCACATAGCGAGATGGGAACAACAGACCAGCTAGAGTGGAACAAGAAATGAGAGAAAATGAAATGAGGCCAAGGGGCGTCAGCGCCTGATACATGTGTACCACCCATCACCACACTCCTCCAGTTGCAGTTGCTACAACGCCAGTTCCCCTTTCCCCCTCCCCATACAGCAGTGTGCTTTCTCTCTACCACATCACGAACATGCGCACACAGCTCCCTAACCCGCCCATCCCGCGGAAAAAAGAAAAATAGGGAGAAAACCTGGGGTAGCTCTACATATCTAGTACTCCTCCACGTCCTCCTCGCCCTCCATATCGGCGGACTCTGCGCCAACCTCCTCGTAGTCCTTCTCGAGTGCGGCAAGATCCTCACGGGCCTCGGAGAACTCACCCTCCTCCATACCCTCACCAACGTACCAGTGCACGAACGCGCGCTTGCTGTACATCAGGTCGAACTTGTGGTCGATGCGCGCGAACACCTCGGCGATGGCCGTGGAGTTGGCAATCATGCACACCGCACGCTGCACCTTGGCGAGATCGCCACCAGGCACCACTGTTGGTGGCTGGTAGTTGATACCGCACTTGAAGCCAGTGGGAGACCAGTCCACGAACTGGATCGTGCGCTTCGTCTTGATGGTCGCGACGGCGGCATTGACGTCCTTGGGCACAACGTCGCCACGGTACATGAGGCAGCAGGCCATGTACTTGCCGTGGCGGGGGTCGCACTTCGTCATCATTGACGCTGGCTCGAACACCGCGTTCGAGATCTCCGAGACGGAGAGCTGCTCGTGGTACGCCTTCTCCGCAGAGATCACCGGCGCGTAGCTCGTCAGCACGAAGTGGATACGTGGGTACGGCACCAAGTTGGTCTGGAACTCCGTCAGGTCCACGTTCAGCGCACCGTCGAAGCGCAGTGATGCCGTCAACGAGGAGACAACCTGGCCAATGAGGCGGTTCAGGTTCGTGTACGTGGGGCGCTCGATGTCAAGATTCCTTCGGGTGAGGTTTTTTTTTTTTTTTTTTTTTTTTTTTTTTTTTTTTTTTTTTTTTTTTTTTCTCTCATCTGCGCGTGTAGCCATCCTTCTCTATGACTAGTCCAAATAGCCGTTGCAGTAGCGTCAGTAACTTCTTACTGTGAAGAAATTGCCACATAGAGTATTTTTCCGCTTGTATATCCTGCAGTATATGTAGTTCGTCCAGAAAACTTCGAGCTTCAGGACATTCATAGAGAATGTGATGAAGCGTTTCCATTGGTCCATGTTGAGTTAACGTAGTAGATGGTTGATGAGTAGGAAGATGGGATCTTCGTCTCGGACCACTATTACGGGAATGAAGGCCGCTAGGATTTAATGCACAGCGCATACGGTGCTGTGCCGCACTCCGTCGATTGTCATATACTTCGTCACAGAAGTCACATTTAAGTTGAGCGGTAGGGGCCGGCTGATCACTGTGATGTTGTTTGCAGTGAAGTTTAAGATTAGAAAAACCACGATAGACCTTATCGCAATATGGACATGGTTCTTCTCTTCTATTTACGGGCACCCCAGGTACCGTTCGAGATTGTTGAAGTGATGAGGTTTGACTGTTTGTATTGTCTTCTGACAATTGAGTATCACGTAAAAGCGCTGCTGATTGTTCTGGTGTGCGGTTGCACAGTCTGCACGTCGGCAAGCAGTCCCTCACACTCCAGAAAAGGCGTCCAAAAAACTCAGATTCACCACACCGAGCTCGGGCCAAGTGGACTAGTTCTGATCTAGTGAGAAGGTTACCAGTAATAAGGTCGGTACCACTCAAATCAGCCGATCGATCTCCACAAAGGCTATATCGATGAGTATCCGTACGTAGTGATTCTTTCCATTGTTCTTTGAGCCTACGAACTAGAAGGGTTTCAAGATCCGTGTGCCAAAGTGGTTTCACATCCGATTCCGTATACTGCCCGGTTTCCATACATTTTGTTGCATATTTATCTGCTAATTCATTCATTTCTACACCGCAGTGGCTATAACAAAATTGAAGATGTATAGACCATCCATTAAGAGTAAGCTTGATGAGTCGAGTCCAGATTTGATCTTCAGTATAATCCGTCTGACTCAAAGGACCTTTATTAAGGGCAGCCAGAAGAGACTGACTGTCTGTTACAATTAGTAAGGTTTTGTCCTTCTCCTTTATTCGTGGCAACACTAATTTATCTAAAGCTAACAGCACAGCTGAAGCTTCCGTTCTGTAACTGCAAGGAACACAACCACAATTAATGCTGACGCGATCAATGGTGCTAAGGTTAGCAAACGATTGAAAAAGAAGTGCTACTCCTGCCGACTGAGGATGGGAAACACCTCCATCTGTGGAGACGACCCAACGTCGATACGCGTGAACTTGAAGAGCGGCCATACTCGCGCTCTGTTTAGCTTGAGTGATGGCTTTATCATCCGTAAGAGAACGATCATAGAAAACTTCGAGACCAAAGGTAACGTTGGAAGCGAGGTGCACTGACCACGGCGGAATGCTTGTATGGAAAAAACGAACTTCCCTTGTACTATGCTGATTAATACCGTTTTCCATCATGAGAGAGTCTACTAAGGAGTAGAGATCTCGACGTGATATGGGCGATATTCGAAAACCTTTACGCGGAGGAGGTTCTGGAGGCGGGCGATGATACCAGTCCTTACAACATGCACGTACTCGCTCAAATAGTGCAAAGCGAGCACGAAGAGCAATAATATGTAGAGGCATCATATTTGCTTCCAGTAGAGCAGATTCAGGGTCCGTCGTGGATGGAACTCCACTGACTATTCTAGCAAGACTTGCTTGGGTCCGCATTAATACATTTTTTGCAGAGTCATCACTTAATGCCCATGTAAGTTCACTTCCATATAGAAGTTTGGACGATCCATATCCAATGACAAAAGTTCTCATGTCATGGGGTCGAGGTCCGGCCGATTTATGTGCTACACATTTTAATTGAGCTATACGAGTCGATGTGGCAGCACTCTGGGCGTTCGCGGCGGTATTGAAGGACAGCCGCGGATCAAGTGGTATACCAAGCAGCTTAGGGAGATGGGTGGATCCCATAGTTGACACGGGTATTACATGGCCGTTATAGATTAGCTTATGTTTATCATCTGGATCGCGATCATCTTCAGTGTGTGTTGACATTGTAAACCATGCTGCTTCGCACTTTAACGGATTCACCAGGAGGTCGTTCTGAATGCTCCATTCATGGAGCTGTCGGAGAACTAGATTGGCCTTGGGGATAGCCTCTTCGCGAGACTGCCCTTTGATGATGATTGATAAGTCGTCAGCATACATATCAGCCGATATTTCAGCGGAATCATTAAGCAAGTTAAGGAGCGGGTGTACGTAGAGGGAAAAAA